CAGCTAAAGGATCTTATAGAATCATGGCGAAACCTCGTTATATTGAAGATTTGTATGAGCTTTCTGTTGGGTTTTATTGGCCGCGTTTGATGAAAATTTAGTTTTGGAGTCCTATGAATTGTTTTAGTGAGAGTTCGGTCACGGTTATGTTTCGGCTATTTAAAATGATGCTAGAAATGATGTATTAGCTTTTGAGCTTGGTGTTGGGTTGATGCAGACTCGACGATTAGCTCGTTATTCATGTGGGCTCAATAATTTATCTAAATTTTAGATTTATTGTTATTACTTTGATTATGCTGTTTGTTACTTAGTTCCATAAAATTTGCTAGTCCTATGATTGTGCTTGTTAGAGTTTATTTATTCTGCTGTTGATGTAGTTCTTGATATTAGTTTGATTACTGGAATCAAATCAGAACTTAGAAGTGGTGGAAATGATGATAATATCTTTGTTTTGTTTTATTTGTTAATCACATGCATAGAAAGGAAGTGTGGCAAATACAGAGGTGTATGTCATGTAGTTAAACCTATAATTAATGGAAAACATGCTATATGTAATAGCTGAAAGTTGTTCAAGGAATATGAAAAATGAATCATGGATAATCTGGAAGTTTAAGGTTGAGTTGAGAAATGATTGTGTGTGGTTGGAACTGGTACATGTTGACTTAGTGTTGTCTGAAAATTGCAACAAAAAAAAAAAACAGATTTGAGTTCCTCTGTTGTCAGGCCTATATCTCTTATCTCTCGAACTCTTTTTAAGATTTTCTTTTTATTAAACTGCTCTGCAGTCAGTGTACTTTAATACGGTCTTGACGGATTATCAAACGGACAAATTATCTGTCCACAAATCTGATTTGAACAAGACATATTTATCGCTAAAACTGCAGAGAAATCAGAACAGTTTTCTTCTATTAACAGGCCTATTTCTCTTGGGTTTTTAACTTTTTTTCTGAATTTCTTTTTATAGAACTCTTCTTTATTCCGTGTAGATTACTTATGTTTTTACGGATTTAAAAATGGAGCTGTGGATTATCCAAAAACATTATTTGAGCATGACCCGATCAAGGCTAAAAATCTGGAAAACAAAACAGATTCCGAGCTTCTGTTTAAGGATCAGTTTCTTTTGGTTCCTTTCGTAATTGTTTTGGATTATCTATTACTGGATAACTGTAAATGTTGTGAACCAGTGATGAATTACAAGGGAATAATTGTAGTTTACTCAATCATAAACTACATGAGATATTGCTTCAAGTTTGGAGTGATTATTGGTTATTCGACACGTCTCCAATGAATAGTCAGGAATTTGAGCAGCAAAACACAACGGAGATTCAGCGACATATGTAGACAGATATGTTGCTTGCTGGAATCTTTTCTAATCCGTGTTGGATGTGAGAAATTTTCCTCAACAGAATATAATTATACAATTGTTTGGGAAAATTGCCGAAATTTAATTCAAATCCTAATAACATTCGGCTTGTCCTGAATATAATTTGGGAGTTTTTCCTAATTCAAATACATCTAAGAATATAGGGATTTTGAAAGACAACTCTGAAAAGAATATAGGGTTTTTCAACCATCATCGGAATTTTGTGGAATTTGCTTGATAGTTGGTTTCTCTTTCTAATCCTTTTACAATATGGTAGTTGTTATGTCAGCTATTTTCAATGTATATGTTTTTTTATATATATATAAATAGGACAGTAGAAGTTCAATAATTTTCAAGCTTCGTTTGTTTTTTATTGAGCTCAACAAACAATTCTCATATTCACGTCCTTCATGTTCATAAGCAAAACGTCACAAAGTTCGATTCTTTTCTCCTTGCTTGCTTCAATTTTTAGTTTTTTTCCCCTACCTTTTGGCTTGATGTTTAGATTTTGTCTGATCTCTTTTTATATCAATTTTTTTCCCTTTTCCAGATTGTGTAATGTTCTTAATTTTGCTTTGAAATTTGTGGATGGAATTTGGTTTCTTGTTTGATTTTCGGATGTTAGAAATTGATGGTTATTGCTATGATGTTGTATGAATTTTCTGTGATTCATAACTAATGGTAAAACTTTTAGGAATTTTGGTTTTTCTGGAATGTGACTAATTAGGTTTGTTTGCTTTACATGTTGCTATTGTTTGGAATTTAGGAATATATCCTTAGGAAGGTGTGGGTTTGGTCTACGAGAATTACAGGAGTAGAGGATTTTTAAATGCCTTTTTTTTTATTGATGTGGAATAACAATTTTGTGTAAGCTGTGGTGATAGCAAGTTTAATGTTTTATGCTGATAGCAACTCTTTGTTGATTGATTTTGTACAGTAGGATTAATTGGTCATTTAATATATATCTCAGAAGTATTGTTAAATTCGGTTGTTTCTTTTTTGGGTTTGTCTTACTTTTTCGATTTGTGGCATTCGTAGAGTTGACAAAGACTTTCGGTATGGAAGGAAATCGTTTCAGGCGTCGTTTTTGTTGCTTGATGGAGTTGAATCTTGGTTTTGATACCATCCCAAACGAATTGGCTCTTGAAATCTTCAAAAAACTTGATGCGATTAGTATTCGTAGGTGTATGTGTGTTTCGAAAAGGTGGAAGGGTATTTTGTGCAATGATCCTGAAATGTTGGTGATGCGAGATTCCTATTTGGTGTCGAGCGATGCGAACATATTGGTCATCTGTCAAAAAACATGCCATCCGCCATACGTTCATCCTATGGAGTTCAATGTTCTATCCAGAAAGGACAATGTTGTCAAAGTCATTAACGAACAGATGCGTGTGTTTATCCGTGAGTGTAGAGTCCATCGTGTGTTACCTGTAACTTGCGACCTAATTGGATTGCAAATGGCGTATACAGTAAAGGTATTGAATCGAGCTACTGGAAGAGTGCGGAAGTTGCCACAACCGTTTGTTTCTAATGGTAATAAAGATTATGTGTATTTGTCTTTTAATTTTGGTTTATCGTCTTTTGTGGGAGCGTATGTGGTACTCATATTGCACATGCTTTGAGATCGTACTATGGAGGCGAGGATGATGAGTTGGAGGTTTGATGAGAAATTAACTCCTCGTAAGAAAGTGTGGCGAGACGTTGCTGGCTATTGTCCACGTTCCGTTAATAACGGGCTAGTGATTGGACGACATGTTTATATGCCGGTAGATAGGTATTTAAATAAAGGTGTGAAGGGATTTACAGAAGACGAGATTCTAGTTTCTTTTGATATATCCGAGCATAGATTTGAAATTATTTCAGCACCTGAAGGGGCGTCATGGAATGCTCAGGATTATACTCTCGACAAAACAGTTGTGTTGTTGGATCTTAACGGGGTTCTCTGTGTAGCCAATCCTAGTTACGTTCTTGTTAATCGTCGTTTTGAGATTTGGTCTTGGAAGAGGTTGCCTAGGACCAGTGATGCAGGAGATGTCTGGGGCTGGAATTTGGAGTTCAACACTTATATGCCTATGTCTATGAGTATGTGGATGCCGATGACTCCTCTTCCAACACCTTTTGATCATAATTGGATGAGATCCTTGTTTTTATGCCCTAAGGCATCATTTCGCGGGGAATTCCTTTTGAGTGGTTTTGATTATAGGGATTACATTGTATTTCATCCTATAAGCGGATGCTATAGAGATGTGAAGAAGCCTCCTATTTTTGAGAATAAGTTTGATATCTCGGTTGGGTTTTATTGGCCACGTTCGGCGCATTTTTAGGTTATTTGTTTTAGTCGGTTGTCAGAGGTCATAATTTTGAGATTTATTGTTAGGTACTTTCTTCTTTTATAAACGTGTTAAGTTAATTGAGATTCCATCTTTCTTTATTCAAATAATTTTGTATCAGTTATTCAAATAGTATGGAAAAAAAAACAGAATAAAATGAACATTGCCAAATGCTCAATCGAATTATCACAACAAAGAAGCTCCAAAAATAGAAATGAAAGCTAGATTTGATAGTGAATAAATGAGTTTCCAATGCTTTCTCTTTTCCAATTGGTTGTAGATTTAATTGGCAAAAAAAATAACAGTCAGTTTTAATCTAGGAAAAAACCCAATCAAAATGACAGAAGAGAGCTATTCTTCACATAAATCTTCTTCCTAGGTAATGGGGTAAATACTTCATGCAGCATAAGCAATTCAAATTTCTATGAACAACTAAAAGAGCCAGTCATAGTTCTCGCTGCTTCTGTACTACTATTCTTTGACTAATTTCATGTTCAACTTTTAGTTAAAAAACAACACTTCCAGCGGCTACACAATGTGGCCATTTCAATACAAAAATTATAAACTTATTTTAAGCCTGTCACCAGTGAAACAGAAGAAATAAACTGTATGAAATCATAATTGGCATATCAAGCAACTCGAAGAAGCAAGAGATCTAATGTTGCATCAGTGCTTTTACCCAAACTTGTGCACATGTTCTTATCCCCTAAAAGCACAAAAAGAATGTAGCAGAATCTACACCATAATAGTGAAAGCTCTGTTAAAACTTTCAAAAGCATTTAGCCAAATTCACGGTTTTCTAATTTGCACTCTTTTAACTACTGGTAATGTGCAGAATTTGATGGATGAAACTGAAAAGTTATATATTGAAACAGAAACATTAGGAGATAAACAGCAAAACCATGACCCTGCTATTGTTAAGATGAATCAAGACCATTAAAACTGTAGCAAACCATGTTATGTGTTTCTAGTTTAGCAAGATTAAAGCAGAAATCCATACAAAAGAGACAAATCCAAATTTAGATCAAATTAGTAAATTACCTTTAACTCAAAGAGACGGTCAGAATATGTCCGATGCAGATGCTTCTGAATTTAGGAATGATCTTGCCCAAAGATAAAGCAACATATAATTTAAAGGAAGGGGAAAGTCTGATGTAGTTTAACTTAAAAGAGTACAGCAACAAACAATTGAATATTTCTGTAACTTATTTTAAACTTAAAAGTAATCTAAATAATGGCAGACATTTTGTCCCATTCAATTGTAAAAATAAATAAATACTAAGTAGCTGGAAGGTTAAATAACCAATTCAAACCAATGCTTTCTTGTTTCGTTTTGTTGCTCTCTTGAAAGGGACATCATCAGCGACGGCATCACTGTCATTGTCAACTTTGCTGCTTGGAGAACATGGCCTTTTTAGCGGGACATCAACTTCATTGGTGTCAGAGTGTGACTTGGTGTCAATCTGCTCAGTTGAAGATCTTCCTGCAGTGACAGCATCTTCATCAGAGGGTAGAGGAGCAGCATTTTCTGTAGCATTTGTTTGATCGCCCTGTATAGGCAAGAGTAATTGCATCTCACTGTCTGGGGTGTTATCTTCGATACAACTGACGACGATGTAATCACGATGCCCCTCGTATAATACTGGACACCGTTTCAACTGTAACCGGTATTTTTGGCGTTCTAGTTTTTGTTCAATAGCTTTTAGGTCAAACTGCAAATTACATCAGTAGTTAAAAGGGTGAGTTTTGCTGAAATATATAAAAATTATTGAATGGGAAAGTAAAGTGAGTTTTCGTACAAGATGTAAAACGCATGTTATGGAAAACTATTAGGATACTTAGTTATTGTTTACCATATGCAGGGATGTATTACTATAAATCTACATGCACATATAAATTAAGGAAATTAACAAAACCAAGGCATAATCAGACAGTTTTTGCGATACCTTTTCTCGCTCTTCTATCATCTGTTTTGCAGTAACACCCAAGATCTTCTCTCCGATAACACCTAACGCCGTAGCTTGCAAGTGATATGTGTTGTCACGCAGGTTGAACCTTATGCGACATCTGAAATATTGAGACACAAATTTAAATCTGGTTTTTTGTTTTTGAAAAAAGTGTAAAATAGGAATGTGAAAATGGATTTTTTGTTTACCTCGGGTTGTCTGCATATTGTTTCACTTTGCATATGGTGCATTGGAATGGAGTATTATACATGTGAGAGGTTCCCGCATCACAGTTTTTGCAAGCGAGATAGTAGAATGTTTGAGGTATATCTTTGAAATCAACATAAACTCTGACCGTAATGTTCTGTTTCACAAGGGGAAAACAATATTGTTTTACAAGTTAGAAAATAAATGTATTTGCGATGTGCAGAGGAAAAAAAGAGGTATAAATTTAGTGTCAAACTGACCTCATGTCGGTCGCTTATTTGTTTGATCGGCGTAACTTCAGTGTTGTTGTCCTCAAGTACTTCATCTGCGAATTCACTCTCTCTGGCATTTGTCAGCAATGGCGTCAGAAAAGAGCCATCGTCCTCAATTAAATTGTTGACATTGTAATCTCGAATCCCCCTGTACATTCTTTTTGATCCTCTCAGCTGCAATAGAAATGCTTTGTTTTCTAACAGCTCATGTATTTCTTTAAGATTTATCTGTTGGAAAAGACAAATAAGATATTAAGGACGTGTCATTTTTCAATGATATATAAAGGAAGGGAAGATTGGATTTTTGAAACATGTGTATTTAGGAACTTGTATAGCTGAAACGAAGAATGAGCATACCTTTTCAGGGTTCTCGACGATTTCTGTTGCAGTGAAACCCAATATCTTTTCTGCAATGCTACCAAAAATGCTAGCTTGGATTGAACCGCTGTCGTCATGAATGTTAGCTCTTAGACGACACCTAGAATGACAACAGTAAAATTTAGGAATATTTCAAAATCATCTAATCGGCTAAAATGTTACATATATTATTTCTGAATTTCCATATGTTTCAGAACTGTATCTTAAGAAATTGAAATTGACGTACTTTGGGTTGGTTGCAGATTGCTTTAATGAACACTTGTTGCATTTGAAATCTTGTTGATAGGTTGCTGATGTTCCAGTGCCGCATTCCTTGCAAGCCATGTAGTAGAATGGTTGTGGTATGTCTCTGAACTCAACATGGACTTTGACCAAGATATCCTAATTTTTTTGGCAAAAATTAAAGCTTAGTTAATTTGAATGAAGAAATATAAGAATTTCTAAAACACGTTGCATAAAGAGTATTTGGAACCAAGCGTGTTAACATGTTGTTCATCATCGATATGTGTGACTAGAGTGACTTGTGAAAGGTTTTTGTGACTGATGGCAGGAGTAGACGAGAATGATGGTTTATTCTGCAAGAAAAGATCGATTTTGTTCCTGTTTTGTTGTGACCTGAAAAAGTTAAAAAGGTAATTAATATGCTGAAAATTTTAGTAGAAGTTGGTTTAGAAAAATAAAAATATATACCAATTCCTCAATTTCCTTGCTTTGTCAGAAGGGGGATTGATCAAAACCACCGATCTATGTGAAGTTGTTACCTCAATTCCTGATTAACATGAGAATTAAATTATCAGAGAACAAGTTTGCAGAAAAAGTATGGTTGAGAAGTCTGTTTTAAAAAGGGTTTATTAGTGTACCGTTGTATACAGAGACAAGCATTCGGCGGCAAATGACTGTTGGGTAACTCTTAGCTTGAACTTGTTCAGTTAATAATATTCCAACATCCTGGTGAAATTCTTCCCAAAGTGACAATCTCACATATTGCAACCTAATTGAGAAGGCAGTATAAAAATTAAGTGTTTGCTACTTTACCAAAATATCATGATTAAATTCCGTAAACTAAAACAAAGAGGTATATTCTGAATTTAATATCTAGCAAACCTTTTGGTACCATTTCAGAAAACGAGATGCAACATACAAGTATAACAATAATACATGAAAATAACAGGAGTATCGTCCTTGTAATTTTGATGGAAACTTCATGGAAAATAAATTTGACGTTTCAAAAAGCATTGTATAAATAATTCGAAAACCACTATATTGAACTTACTCTTCATTTAGCATACAGAACTTCTGGATCATTCTTTTTTTCCCTTTTCCTGTTGTAACAGTTTGCGGGTGGCTTCTCTCAACGATGACAACAATAACATCTGTAAGGAAAAGGTTGTTTAAAAGAGATAGATCAACATAAGTTTTTTATTTGATAAAAATGTTTAAGAAAAACAAATAGACTTACCAACAAAGCCATCTTGAATACCAGCAAAATCATTAAGGGAATCAAAGGGCGTGTATTGTTCCTTGGTCACAAGGGTAGTAATAGGTTCGTTAACCTCTTCAACAACCGTCCCAATACCAATGACCCATTGTTTGGAAAGACCAGGAGACCTATACTCTGGTTTAATGTACCGTATAGGTGAATTGGAGACTCGGTATTTTCTACACGCCTGGAGTCGTGGTCCCATGATGCTGACGGCCTGTCCGAACATGATACCTTCTACTTTAGCACCCTACAATGATAAATCTAATATTAGTATTATGAATATGTGACGTGAAAATTACTATGACAACTAACAAATATAGATAATGTAATTAACCTTTTCACTTCTCCTCGACAGTGACAATAGCAGTCCAAGGCTGATCAGAGTCGTTGAGCTTGTCAATTTCAACCTTGTTCGCAATCATCTTTGGTGCACAAGGAGCCATTCTAAAAAAATTTGCAGGAAGGAAAAAAAAACAGGTATAAATAATAAGGAAGAATGTTTTTTTGTTTTTTATTCTAGTTATAATATGTTTTCAGGAATATAATAACATGGGTGGAAAAAATACCTGTGCAAGAAAGGAAAAGTTTGAATTTGTTAAATTTGTTTTGCTGGAGATTCACAAGGTTGCACTTTAGGATTTGGGATAAAAGGATGGGTAAGACAGACAAGTATTACAAAATTGAAACAAAGGTATGAGCTTAAGGAATCTAAAAAGCCTAATGTTAGAGAATTTTGAAAGCCCCGTCACATAATAACAAGTCAAGAGGCCAACAAAACTCTGATATTATATAAGCATTAATTAGAAGTCTCTTTGGCAGCAGACTTACAAAGAGAAAATAAGAAATCAATGCTAAAATCAGAACTAACTGAGTTTTTGAGGAATGAATATAAATGATCTTTACATTTAGACAAAGAGCCAACAGAACAATACAAAGAAGCTTAAGCAATATGAGATTTAGAGACAGACAAAGAACCAACGGAACAAACAATCATATAAACAGTCTAGATACAAGGGGCACACCTTCGGACAGCGAGTGCTCCGAGAAGCTTGTAACGTCGAGACTTAGCCTGGGCAACAGCGCAAAGACCCCTGTTGTTAACCCTTTCAGCGTAGAACTGCAAACTATTTTCAGGGAACTTAAATCTCTTCTGAACAATGGAGGTGAGCTCCCTAATTTTTCTTCCCTTCTCACCTACATAAGTTCAAAGACATAATCAGTCATGCTTAAATATACTGCATTTCATAATCTAAAGAACTTTGGATATAAAGGGCAGGCACTTCAGTATATTACTAAATCCTCCTCCCCCCCTCCCCCCTTCCCAAACTACCAGCCACCAAGAAGGTAATATATATTTCTAACTGATAAGTATCAATCTTGTAAGCCTATAATCTTTACGAGCTATCAATCAAAAATTATATCCACTCAGTTTCTCTACCACCATTAACAAACGTTATAATCAAACATTATAATCTTCTAACATTATATTACGACCATGTCCGAATTCTATATCCAATTAACCTAAATAATTAGTGTTGGTGATATGTAATAATTATCCTATAATTAGAGTTGAAAAATAATTTAGTTTTGTGCGGAAAAATAATGTAACAACATAAAGCAGGAAAACAATTCTAAAGCATGTGATGCAAACTAATATCAGCAACGACACATGGAGAAATACTAAGAACCTTTGGAAAAAAATTCTGGAAAAATCAGAAGCGGGGGAACAGGTAAACAATTCCGAAGCTGTAGTGGTTGAATTTACCTGATCGATTCCAAAGTTGCAACGTTCAGAGAGAGCTTCTAGTGATTCTATTTGTGAAGGTTATTGTTATATTTATAGAGCGGATGCAACGTTCACAAATAAGGGAACGAATAAAAATTTGAAATTTTTGGCTTTTTTTGGTGATTTCCTATTGAGATTGAATTTATAATTCGATTGGATTTTTTTTTTTGCCGATTTCCTAATCCAATTTGAACAATTATATCAATTAGGAAAGAAAAGAGCTTACCGAATTTTCAGCCGGCCTCCTCCGAAACCCAGTGACTCGGGAGCCCTGTAACCTGTAGCCACATCGGTGCGCGTTCAATCTTGATTTATTCTCTTCAAAATTTTCAGCCCAAGGATGAATCACCATCAATTGTTCCATAAAAAAACCAAGGACCCCCTGCCAAAACTTGATCCCTTTCCTCTAGACCTTGGAAGGTAATTGAAAGAAATTTCTGCCTAATTCAGCTACGGTCAACCGGTCCGTAGGACTCCACCTTCGAGAAAATTGATTCCTCACCCCAAAGAAATTGGTTGCATTAACCCCATAGATTTTCCCTAAAATACTTCTCTCGCATTCTAGTCTTCTTTTTGCTACATCTCCGCTGCCAAGCACGAAGCCCTCTTCCTGCCGGAGCTGGTTTTGAGTGTTTGTGCCGGTAATGTACAGAACAATTTATTATGCTGAGGGGGCCGGAGGAAGAAGCAGCGAAGGGAGAAATTTTTTTATGGAGGGTGGCAGAGAGAGAAGGTACGAAGGTGGGTGCCGGAGGGAGTAGAGGCGAAGGGAGACCAAAACATACTATAATAAAACAGGAATAAGACAGAAAACGTAATTTCGATGGAAGGTAGGCATGTGTCGTCTTTTTTTGCGTTTGGGGGGGGTGGTGTTTTGGCGTTTGGGTTTTTTTTTTTTTTTTTTTGGTTTTGCGTTTGGAGGTTTTTTACATGTTTATTAGTGTAATTAAGTATTTCGTGTTGACCAACTTCCTTTTGGTTGTGGGTACGGATTGTAAATTAAAAGTGATAATTGGAACTGACGGACAAGATGACTTTTAACACTAATAAATCACTAACATCATATTAGCTCCATCCGACGGACAAGATCGATTTGACAATGGTCCTTGTTTTATTTATTAGAAGAAAACAAATTATGAAATCCCCGTTTTATCCCTAATAAGTCGCTGACATCACATCAACCCCATCCGACGGACGAGATCGATTCTACGGTAGTCCTTGAATATTTCTTGGGCATTATTTCTTAACTACTGTGCCTTTTATTTAAGTATAAGGATAAGGATTAAGCCAACTTTGTTTATCATAAAATGAATAAACAAATAACCTAAACCCTAAACCCTAGTTTTGTTACCCTAAACCCTAACAACTTACACAATGTGCATGATCCTTTAGCGTTTATCACACAAACATCCAAACCAACACACTAACATAAATACAAACGCAAGAAAAATCATCCTCATTAGTGCTTTTACATGAATGTTGAAAACAACACCCAAATACAAACACTAACAGAATCATCACTACGAATTCCGTATGGATCGTAAAGTCCTAAGATAATTAGTGCTCACGCCGTCCTAAGAAAATTACTGCTTTATACGACATGTATATAGTAATTATTAGTACTGCATTTTTAATACATAATGACGAAGACCGACATTTTTTTTAAAAAAATATTACTAATATAAATTGAAAATGGTTGGTGTTTAATATTTATTATACTGGAGTCCAAGTCTTGGACTCTTGCATAAACATAAATTCGAGTTTGAGAAACGCGAATACTATATAAGGCAGAAACATTTCGCGTTTTAGAAACGCGAAATAGATTTAAAACGGCCAAACTTTCGTGTTTTTGAAACGCGAATAGTGTGACTCACCAGAATTTGGACACGTGGCTAAAGAAGATGACTCAAAATCAGTGTCGTCATCTGAGTCCTCATCCGATGGGACGTACTCAACATCACTACTTTCGACACCCCCGCTATCTTCATCTTCATCTTCATCTCCATCTTTATCTTCATTGTCTTCAACTGTTCTACCACCACTAGTGCTGACACCAATATCCTGGCCAGATGTACTTGCATAAACATGGCCTATTCTCTCAACATTTTCAGGGTACAATTCCGGCCATTTATCAGCACAAAGATAAATGAACCGAACAGTATAATCATTATTAATGTGCACACGAGACCTTTTTCCTGACCTCTCCGTCCATACCAAAGAAAAATCAATTTACAACCCTTCTCTATTAACTTCCATCACACCACATACCTTATCAACAAGTTCCGAGAAATCTAACATACGATCAATGATAACATAACCCTCCGGCGCATCCCGCTGTACCGTGATAGTCCCATCAGGTTCAGTTGTATAAGTAGTGTTCCAATATACTTTCAGACGAACTGTCTCCGTGAAAGATATTTACGGCTTGCAAAATCAATTCCTACGAAATCAGAACACTAGAATACATTTTGAATTTTAGTTTTCTCGAAACAGTATTTACCCCCGTTTACAGATTTAATAATTTCAAAAGAACAACTATACGCCTGAATTTAAAACTTCATTTCTACGCTAAAAATATTTTAAAAACCCACTCTGGGTATTATAAACTTTTTCATAAATCACTATACAATAAATTTCAAGAATCATCTAATTTAACAACAGCAAACCCAAATTTTACAATCAAAGAATTTAAATGAATATTAAATCTAAACCTTGTGCCCGAATTACATAATTTATTCTTATGTTTATAATTTTATTTTATTTTACAGAAATCGATATACAATAATTTACAAAGCTCATCTAATTTAACATTCTATTAACTAATATTTCTTTCAATTCACTTTATCAGCCTAATTAAGAATCCACCGTTAATTGAGTAAATCATAATTATTTATAAACTAATAATAATGCGTAAATTATTCTATGCTCACAATAAATTAAGCAATAAAAAATTACATGTTTTCTATAACAAAAAATACAAACCTGAATGTTGAAACTTTGAGTTTTAAATTGATTTCAGGAGCAACTTCTCAATTTGAAGGAAATAAGAGCTTTCCCGGATTCAGCCAAAGTCCTCCGGAGTGAAACTCAAATTTGGAGCTCAACAGAACGAAATAAGGTAGGTTTGGGAAGAAATGCTGTTATTTTGTTATGTGCATTTTAAATTTCGCGCGTACAAAACGCGAATTTCTTTCAAATCTTATCAGCAAAATACACGTGGAGCCAAATGAGTGGTTGAGGAGATTTTCTGGATATTTTCGCGTTTTCAAAACGCTAAAACTAACTTTGGCGTTTTCAAAACGCTAAGACTATTTTTTTCACGTTTTCAAAACGCTAAAATGACACAATATTCGGTTTATTTTCAAAACGCTAAATTGTATAAAATTAATTTAAAAATTTATTTTAAATATATATCTTTTCGCGTTTTTAAAACGCTAAAGCATTTTCACGTTTTTGAAATGCGAAAAACAATATTCGCGTTTTCAAAACGCTATTTTTTGTTTACCTTTTTTATTTCTTTTTTTTTTCTTTTTTCCCGGATCAATTTGTGTAAATAATAATTTAATTTTTTTAATTCCATTAACAGATTTCGCGTTTTACAAACGTGAATTTTTAATTTAATTTTTTGTTTTCGCGTTTTCAAAGTGCAAGAAATATATAAATGTCCAGTTTTAAAACCCTAGAATTACTTTCTCCTACAACTTTGGATTTGAGATACCCCAAAGTCAAGCACCCCTAGTTTAAGTCCAAATTATGCGACCAGATAAAAAGTGACACAAATTTTAATTATCTCTACTGACTCACTTTTGGCTTTTTTAAATAGTAGTTAAAAATTTAATGGTCAAAAGCAAAAGAGAATAATTAGAAAGATCCTTGAATTAATTTTCCTTTGAATTGATGTAGCACGAGCTAGTGTTAATATACTAGTGCATCGTATATGATGAAAAAAGTAGCATTTAAATTATTTAAATAATATATGAGATTTGATTTGGTTATTTAGCGGTTTGATTTTATTCGGTATTTTAATTTTTTTGCCTTTAATTAAGGATAGGAGCTTTTTTATATTTACTTCAGGAAACTAGTATCATTATAGGAGGCTGTATCCAGTGTACCAGGGGCACCGTGCCCCCCTCATATTTTTTACATTTTTAGTCCTTATTGTACTTTTTTCTCAATCTTTCTATATTTTACAAGTTTAGTTCCTGTGACTTTTTTTCTCTCTCCTTTAAAAAATATCTCCAATCTTTCAATGACCATATCTCTTAATCTGTAAAGAATTAGAGAACGTGTTACGCATGAAAATTATAGTACTCGTCGAGATCTATTCAACAAAATCCATTTCGAATATTTTTTTTGAGTTTAAAAATGATCAAATTTCTTTGGACAGAATTAAGTTGGATATCCAGTACAAACAAGTTGGATAATCAGAATGAACACAGTGGGTAACCAGTACAAACAATTTGGATAACCATGTAATTCTGTTGGATAACCAGTATAAACACAGTGGATAACCAGTTCAAACAATTTGAATAACCATGTAAATCCATTGGATAACCAGCATTAGCGCATTGGATAATCCAGTACAAACCAATAATTGGATAACTAATACAAACGAGTTCGATAACCAACTTAGTTTATTATTTTTTAAAAAAATAATAAAAAGAAAAACCAGATTGGATAAATAATACTAATTAGTTGATAAACAGTATTAACATAAATAATCAAGTTTGACAATCATTTTCATTAAAAGAGCAAGGAAAAAAAATACTGGATAACCACCACAAATAAGTTGGATAATCAATATGAACACATTGGATAACCAGTACAAACAAGTTGGATAATCAGAATGAACACAGTGGATAACCGGTAGTTGGATAATCAGAATGAACACAGTGGATAACCAGTTTAAGAAGATGGATAACCAACTTATTTTACATTCATATCGTTGTGTTCCTTGTATCTTTTGATCCGTAAAGAATTATAACACGAATTATATATGAAATTTATAGTGCTCGACGAGATTTATCCGATAAGATCAATGTTGAATATTTTTTTTGAACTTTAAATGTATTTAAATTTTACGGGCAGAAATGAAGAAATGTGTTTTTCGTTTTTCTTTGAAAAATGGTTATCCGTTGTGTTCCTGCTGATTATCCAACCGGTTTGGACTGATTATCCATTCTGTTCATTCTTGTTATCTAATTTGACATTGGATAATCAATATGAACACATTGGATATCCAGTTTAAGAAGATGGATAACCACCTCTATACTGTCCATCAGAATTAAATCATTTTTAAGCCCGAAAAAATGTTCACTGTGGATTTCGTAGGATAGATCTCGATGAGTACTA